GCGTGGGCGCCCGTCCCTGGGGCACCCTGGCCCCGTCCTGCAGGGCCGGGTGGGAGGCTGCGGCGCGCAGGGCCCTGAGCGCTGCCCTCCTGCAGGGGCTCCACGCTTACGCTCTTTGGGGACCACCTGGACTCCGTGTACCAGGCCAAGATCCGCTTTGAAGCCAGCGGTGTGAAGACCGAAGCCCAGGTGAGAGCCGGGACGTTGCGATGCCGCGGTGGGGACAAGCAGCCATCCTGTGGCTCTGATGGCCCGGGACAGCCCTGGGCGCTCCAGCGGTGGCAGCAGCCTCTTGCCTCCAGGTGTGCCAGACCCCGGGGGCACCCGACCGGCTGCTGTGCCCGAGCCCGGCCTTCCCCTTCGAGAACAAGGTGGAGACGGCGCCCGGCAACCTGAGCGTGCTGCTGGACGGCGCCGCCGGCCGCTGGCTCTTCCGCCTGCGCCACCACCCCCGGCCCGAGATCTTCCCCTTCGAGCACGAGGACAGGCGGTACCGCCTGAAACCCGGCGACGATGAGATCGAGATCCACGTAGGTGGCAGAGCAGCGCGCGGGCACGCGCGGGCTGCTGGCGTGGGCGCGGGAAGGCGATGGGGCCGAGCAGAACCATGGGCCCCGCGCGGGGACCTCGGTGTAAGGGCGGTCTCTCCACGCAGCAATTCGGGCTGGACGCCCTGGCCACCTGCATGAACATCACCATGACGGTGGCGGGCCACGACTGCCACCCCAACGTGCTCAAGAATGAGGTGACCTGCCGGCTGCCCAAGGAGCTGCAGCTGCCCCTGGCCGAGGCTCCCGTGCAGGTAGGTGCCGAGCAGCCCCCGTGGCCTCGTCGGTCCCTCCGTGGTGGCCCTGTGGCCCGCTGAGCCCGCCGCTCCCTCCAGATCTGCGTCAACGGTGCCTGCCAGGACCTGGGCTTTGTGCTGTCCACTTCCCCGCCAGACTTCATGGCCAACATCATCCTGGGCACCTGCGTCACCTTCCTGGCCTTTGGTGTGCTGCTGTTCGCGCTGCTGAAATGGAAGTGGAAGAAGAAGAGGGGTGAGTGTCCGACGCTTCCTCCGGCGCCGCCGCCCTGCTCCAGCGCTGCCAGCGTGCGAGCGCCCTGCGGGGGCCTGTGCCTGTGCCCGCAGGGACGGAGAACCTGGAGCTGCTGGTGAGCCCGGGCAGGACGGAGCACCCCACCACCGTCCAGCGCCCCGGCGTCGACTACCGGGAGGTGCTGGGTACGTGGGGCCGGCGGGAGGGCAGAGCGGCCGG